GCCAATTTGATCAAATTTCCATTCTCTGCTGACACTATATCTTGAACAGAAAGTCAAATGATTCTGAACAAGATTTGTAGGTGGAAGTCCAACGAAAGATTTCAAATCTGCAACTTGAAATAAACCATTGTGTCCGCCATTTTTCTCTCCGGTTTGAACTTTTCGCCGTATTTTTTCTCCTAATTGTGCTTTTCTTGGGATGATTCACTTCTTTACATCAGTTTAGGTAGTGAGTGATCAAAACTTTTGCGTATAACATCAGAATATCCAGATAATGGCTGATGACAAAAGATGTGCAATTGTATTTTTATATAGCCGCCCTGAAGATAATGCTGCCTGGTGCTATAGCACCCAAAAGACCCCTGGTAAAACCGGCACTGGTTCCAACTGGTTATCAAATGACGGAAGTATGTCCGGAATAATAGCAGCAAAAAAATTGCTGGTCCGTGGCCCTGGTATAGGTTCTCGAAATCTACCATTTGATTGGTATCAAATGGTATTATTTTTACCTCGTTATCAAATCGCGAAATCGAGTGCAAATATCCGCACAGGAAAGCGCCATTTTTCAATCATTTTGCTCAGGATAGTGATTGGCACAGGAACCGTTCGATAAGCTACATTGGTTTTACATGCCTTTGGCACATACAGTGTGTCTCAGCTAAAACTTGTCACCCCCCTAAATATCCGATGTCGATAAAAAAATTGAAAATTGCTCGAACAGGTCGATTTCAATTTGACGGAGGACACATTTTTCTGCAATTTTCATATTCCAAAGTTGAAACATGAAGCGTATCGGGCATCAACTTTCGATTTTCAAATGGAACACTCTCTGTATTTCATTGCATTTTTAGATCATTCCTGAAGAGCTGTTTTCATCAATGTATCACACTTGGTGTCTAGCGGGAGTGATTACAGAGATATATATAAATCGAGATTTTTTAACTTCAGGATTTATTTGTGTCGAAACTATTCATTATCAGTCAAAACGACTTTCATGTCCCCATCTTTAACTTCTGATTCACTATCTACTGAGATTTAATTGGAACAGATACAGGGTTATCAGAATTCTGAATCTTGAACCACCCTGTATTTGTTTCAATCAAATGTCAGTAGATAGTAAATCAAAAGTAAAGATAGGGACATGAAAGCCGTTATGACCGATAATGAATAGTTTCGACACAAAAAAATCCTAAAGTTGAAAAATCTCGATTTTGAACACCCTATATCTCTGTAATCATTCCCGCTAGACACCAAGTGTGATATTGATGAAAGCAGCTCTTCAGGGATATTAAGTTGATGCCCGTTACGCTTCAAGGTTTCAACTTTGGAATATGATAATTGCAGAAAAATGTGTCCCTCGCCAAATTGACATCGATCTGTCCGAGCGATTTTCAATTTTTTTCACTACATCGGAGATTAGGGGGGTGGCAAGTTATTCTAGCTGGGACACACTGTATATCATTTCGTTATCAGATGACGGTCGAAATTTGCAGCCGGCTCTTGGAGTATGATATTTTATATGTACAGTCATCTTCAGGAAACATGTCGCACATGGACGATGATAGCATTCTTAATAACTCATGCAATAAGAGCGCTGACACCGTCCAACCACGACATGATCTCTGAAGACGACTGTACAATAGTGTTACCTGATGACTTTCGTTGGTTCGAAACAAAGTTTTTCCTCGTTGAAGAGTTGGGACACCCTGTATTTCGACCCTCCCCAATTTTATAGTGTTGTTGTAGAGGAACAAGTCGAATGAAAATTATTAGGTTCATTCTTCATTTCAATTGAATACCTACTTAATAATTGAAAAACAATACATCACATTGTACAAAAATATAAGTGACGTTTTCAATATCCAAGGAACAAGTTGACAAAATAATATACCCTTCTGAAGGGCATATTTTATGTTCATTGAAAGAACCATATTATCCTTTTTGGTCACCATGTTTATTTGTACTGAAAATCTTCAAACTTCAAACTACTCTATTATTTATGTCCGATTAATGGAATGTTTCATGAAAGAAGTGGGCACTGTTTATCGTATCGAGATCGAGAAAAAAATTGTGAATCATTCGATTACCGAACACTGTTCTGAGACCCAGAATAGTCGAATATATTATCAGTATATCGTTTACTACGCGAGTGAGTGTATGTGTGGTGAGAATTGACTGTTGGATTATTTGAATATGAATTTTTGAACATTGAAAAGTGTAACCAAAGTGGGGAAAGGATGGCGGTGAGTTGATATCAATGCTTTTAGATCAAATTCGACACCAATTCTTATGGATTTCATCTCGGTTTTCATATTTTTTGCTTGCCGATCTACAAGAGTTCCGGATCTTCATAAAGATTCTGATTTTCAGCTGGAAATTTCAATTTTCTTCCCAAAATTTCGACTTCAAAGTGAAAAATTCGCCGTTTATATCGAAATCTCAACTTTTATTTATCTCGAATGTTTCGACTTTTATTACCAAAATTCCTACTTTTTCCAAATTTCCAAATTTAATGTGAATAATGTGAATTTCTAAAATACAACATCGAGTTCAAGAATCTATTGGCCAATAATAGTAATTGTACAGTGTGTGATCCTATGATGGGATATTTAAAAGAACATTTTCATCAACTTGACAATTTTTGGTAAACTGCATTTATCATGCGATGGTTTTTTTTTTCTAAAATATTTTTTGCTACTTACGTATTTTAGTCTGAAAAACACGATTTTGATAATGAAAATGTGAATAAACCACTATTTATCGAGATATTTCAAGAAAAAGTTCGAAATTTCGCCTTCTTTCTCCCCTTGTGTTGGATGCATTTACAGCTACTTATTGCTCTTCTTATTTTGTCATTGGACACTTTATATATTCATGATGTACTACAATGACACATTTTAAGATAGAAAATTCAACAGGAAATATGATTTTTATGGCGAGTTTTTCCTATTTAGTGAGAATTTAGTGAGCAAGCATACCATTTAATCAATATTCAATCCAAATACGAGATGTCAAATGTCAAAAGATTGCTTTGGAATGACATTACACACGCCATTTTTTCAAATGATATTCTTCCTTCTTTTCACTAAATATGGATACATCTGAAGAAAATCATATTTCTAGTTGAATAGAAAAAAATGTGTCGTATACGTTGTGATATAGAGGGTGTCTGTAAAACGTTGGGACATGGCTCGTATGTGGACTCCTGGGATAAAAACATGTTGATTTAGGCCAACTTACGTTGAAGTTTTTTTGGAAAAAAATTATTTTGCTTATAAAAAGAGTAGGCTGAGATCGATTCTCACAATTTGTGGCATAGCATGTTCTGTGACCGTAAGTCACGTTTTGAGATGTTTTTGATCATCATCAGTGACCTGCCAGTGTTTCAAACAACCATGTTGCCGTACAAATGCTTTATATACGCATTTACTGATTTACATCTACTTAGCTCTTCTTATTTTGTCATTGGCCACACTGTATATACTAATAATCTACTTCAATGACAGATTTTTAAGGAAAATCAACAAGAAATATGATTTTTTGGTGAGTTTTTCATATTTACTGACCAATCATACCAGCTAACAGCCATTCAATTTTAGATGTCAAATGAAGGTCAGATGTCAACAGATTTTGAGAGAACCATGAGAGACTAATTGCTCTTGAATAACGTTTTATACAAATTATTTTAAATGTTATTCTTCAATCTTTGTTTCCACTTTGAAGGTTAAACTAAATAGTTGTGTGATGCCGATGGCACAATGGCGAATGGCCGGCCTCATCAGCTGGTAGGTGTGATTGTTCACCAAATAGTGAATATGGATAAAGTCACAAGAAAATCATAGGCACCCACTATATTAAAAAGAAAGCAATGGATTTAACGGACGCACTGTATAAAAAGTCCATGTGTGATATATTTTGGAATGCAGCTTTCCATGGAGATTCCAAAAATTGAATAATATATGTGGTGTTCATTCGAAAACATTGTCGCGGACGTCATTAGTCTTACGTGGATCACCCTGTATATTTAATTTACCCGACTGAATATGTCAAATTGAGATTGAAAATCGAATCGAAATTTCAGGGAATTCCTCTGAAATGAACTCATATTGAGTTCATTGTTCATTGGTACACACTGAATGTTTCTTTCACGAAAAAACCCTCTGTTATGACGTGGTTATGACCCTCCATGATTTTCAGTATAGTTGTAGGATCAAGTCGTACCATGCTTCATTGCGAAAGAACCATTATCATTTTTCAAGTTTTAATGATTTTATAAAATATTCTTCATTGGCACGTGGTCATGCACCATGTGTATTTGTATCGTCCTGAAAATCATCAAAGTTTAGTTTTGACACCCTGTTATTGATGGAATGTGGCATCAAAAAGTGAAGATTGTTTATCGTTTCGAAAAAACCAGCTTAAAGTTGTGAATCTAACGCCGCGTCCTAGGTGGGCGAACTATAGGCGAACGCGAAGCGAAGCGGCGCGACGCGATTTTGAGGCGATGCCAAGCGAAGCGGTGCGATGCGGCTGTGCTGTCCTACGTACCGCGCCAATTCGCATATCTATAGACATTTCTAGCACGCCGCACCGCGATCGTGTGTCAACCGCGCGAAGATATCAATCCAACTGATCGCACCGCTTCGCCTGTTGCCGCGTGTTCGTCGCTTGCCGCGTGCATTCGCTCACGTAGGCCACTTCAATGTTTTCCTTGGTTTGATAATTTCGTGTCGCGCCGCTTCGCTTCGCGTTCGCCTATAGTTCGCCCACCTAGGACGCCGCGATACGGTTTGCCTGTTCTCTGCTGTTAGGCAGGAATTTGTAATCAGTTGAACGTTTACTACGCCGTTGTTTGTGTGTGTATGTGTGTGTGTGTGTAAAAACTGATTCTTTATTCATTGTTCCGGAAATTTTGGCATTTCGAACTTTGAAAAGTGTACCTACTGTGAGGATAGGATGTCGGTGAGTTGATTTAACTGTTTTGAATCAAATTCTATGTTTTTTTGTTTCGAATCCAGACATTAGTCAATCACAGTCTTGATGATTTCAATCACAATAGGGGTCTATATCAATTCTCTACAAATGCATAGAACTGCCACAGGCCTCTTTTTCTACGACTATAATACAAAATTGCTCCTGTTTGCGATGCGAGAATTGCCTTCTGTACCGTGTGGTTCATACCGGGTGTCCCAGAACTTTTACACTTTATACTTTTACAAAATTGTGGAATTCGTTGGAACAAAAGCTCTCCAAAATACTTCACCTTGTAGTAAGGATGTCCCGATCGGGCTGTTTTCTTCTATTCGAGCTACAGAGGCTACTTTGACGAATTCAGGGGGCTGGTCCTCAACGTCTTCTACTTTTACAAATAGAGCTGCTGTTCCTGTATTCACTCTGCCCTCTTTGGCTCTATCCAAAGCCAACATTTTGAGTTGGTGTATGGTTTGCCTCTCGTAGTCCAACGAGCCTCAGAAAACACCATTAGTTACAATGATTTTTTTCCAGAAATAATTATTCAACATCATATCATACGGCTGATGACGAACTCTCTTAGAGTACGAAACGTGTAACTGTGCATAGGGTGACTTCGAAATAAATACTTACAATTTGTACCATGTTTGCCAGGAAAATAGATATTTGATTTTTTCGCTTTTTTTCAAATAATTGTCATCGGGAAGTCATTGATTCGTCTCTTGAGCTTCCTCGGTGTTTTTCTCAGGTACAGGGTGTCCCATCTAGATGTGTCACCACCCTTCATCCTCGTAATTCTCAACATATTTTGTCCCTTCGAAAACGTTTCTGGAATAATTTTTCACGAATTTTTTGAATCTGATATACACAGCTCGCCAACAGCCATGGAACCACCCAAATTTTCGGAAAATAATATTAGGAGTCAAAATAGGTTGAAAATCACTTCGGATTCCGAATCAGGACGCCCAATTCACTAACTATTACGGGGGTGTTTCCATGAAAAGTGAGACAAAAATGAAATTCTCAGAACTTAAAATTTTCCAGGAAAAATGTGAATAGATAGTGTATTGGGCGTCCTGATTCCGAATCCGAAGTGATTTTCAATCTAGTTTGACTCCAAATATCATTTTCCGGAAAATGGGGTGGTTCCATGACTGTTGGCGAGCAGTGTATATCACGAAGATGCCTCCACTTCGTCATAGAGTACATTTTTGGTATATCCTCCGCTCCAGCAAATTTCAGGATCCTTACCTTACAAATATGTAAAATACAGGGGTGTTTCCAATAGAAGTGAGACACACACTGTATTCGAATTCAGATCGATGGGCTTCATCGAATTATGAAAAAAATATAGGTCATTTCAGATGGAAATGAATATTTCATGTTAGCCACCCTGTGATTGATTTGTTCATATAAAGAAAAAGTAATCACAGATTGAAAAAAAATCGTAAAAAATTATTTCTGATGAGTATTTGAACCAAAATATGTTGAGAATTACAAGGAGAATGGGGGTGACCGAGGGGGTGACTTATTTAAGTGGGACACCCTGTACAAGAAAGGAAATCATTGCATTTTTTGTTTAACATTCTATAAAATTCAAGAAGACTGATCACTTTAGCACAGAAATATGAGAGCGAATCTCCGATTTTTTCACAATAACTAAGGAAAGTGAATTGCTGTTTTTAGGCACATTTTAATTGTTAATATCTCAAAAACTATATAGGTCCTATCGACCTGTTCGAGGTCTCAATTTTATTGTATGATGACAGTCTGTTCTACCAGGAAATTAGTTATTCTCGGGATTTGTTTTGTTTTCTTGGAAATAATTGGCATCGAAAATTCGTTGAATTGTCTCGGAGCATTCGTGGTTTATGGCGAGTTCAAACATTGAAATTCTCAATTCTTGTCTGAAAAAATTCAAGAAGACTATTCCAAAATATTAGAACTGAATGATGTAATCGATTGAAAATCCGAATATTTTCACAATAATTTGGTGGTGTTTCAATCTGTAGACCCTAGTGACCTGCATGTAAAAGGTCTGTTTTACTAGGAAATCTTTGATTTTTCGCAGTTTTCCTTGAATTATTTGCATTGGAGACCCGTTCTATCGTCCTATGAAGCTTTTTCGTTTTTTTAAGAGTACAATAATAAGTTTATCTATACTCGATTTAATATTCTGAGAAAATTCGAGGAAACTCATTCAAACCCGTGTAGGAAGAATATGTTACCGACAATCATAAATCTTCCATTATATACTGGTTGTATTTGAAATAAAATCAAAATCACCACGCTAGATCTAACCAACAGTACCTCTGGAAAAAGATTTTCAGTTGTATGATTCTCCAATGAAAACGAAGAAAATTGAACAGATTTGACCAAAAATTCCCTTTTTCTACAAACGTCAAAAAATGACAAGGCTCGCGCATTGATAACAAATTGCGGAGTGACACTTTTTTTCAGTTTCTTACGTTACCATGATACCTTGCACAAAACAATGCACGAAGTAAAGCAGTGCGCGAAGTACTTACTTCGAGCATCGTTATGTAAATTATATGAGATATTTATATTTCAACTTTATGGTCCTCAATCGAGCAAACCCACGAAATCGTTTATTTCTGAATGTTCAACAATAACTTTGTTTTATCTCTTGAAGCGCACGAAAGGAAATTCCTATTATGTTCGTGGAATATCGTGCGTACCTAGAGAGGATAGGGGGAGGCCTTTTAAGCCAGTTCAACACTATTTTTTGACGTTTGTAGAAAAAATGTTGTTTGCAACTCGAGCGCGAAATACTCATCAGATATCGATCACCAAAATAGCATTTCGCGCTCTAGATACAAAAATAACTATTTTCTACAAACGTCAAAAAATGACAAGGTTCACGCATTGATGACAAATTGCGAAGTGACCCTCTCTTTCAGTTTCCTACGTTACCACGACCCCATGTGCGAAGCAGTGTGCGAAGTTCATACTTCGTTCATTGTATGTAAAATTAACTGTTTGAGAGAAATCAGTTTTTTCTGATTGTTAACCAGTTGAGCGCCGTGAGGTATAGTGCGCGTGCCACACATAGTTTTGCTCCTGGGGCAGCGCGGCATATACACTGTGCCTCGTGACGGACTGTTATATTTTCTGGTGTGGTATCGTAGAGATGCCTCGCTACTCTACAAATCAAATTGGGGCTTGAAGAGTGTGGCCTGACGAACCATGCTATGGTCTTGGCCCGTGAATATTTTTTATTTTCGATTTTTTTTTTGATATTTCAATTTGAAAGTAGAGGATGTTCTTGTTTTGGTAGGTACTTCACTATGAACGGAGAAAGCATTTAATTTTTGCATTTTTATGAAATATGATGAACTGAAATGTATGCAACTGAATTGAACATGACATGTATGTCGCATGGCCCTATACCATACGATAATTCCCACAGGCCGCGCGGCATACAAGGCATGCCACAGACAAAAAGGCCTATGAAAAAAAAACTAAATCACAAATCGACAAAATTCGTGGAGAGACATAAACGGTGATGTTCAATTATGTCAAAACCGATAAAAAAAAATTTGGTCATCTGGGACCAGATTTTTTCCTTGTACGGCGGCGAAATTCTTATGAGTAGATATCCCAGCTCTTCAGTCCAGCCCCACTCCTCCACTTTTCTCCAAACCACGTGTACTCGGCTAGCCAATCAGAGACCAGCATTTGGTTGGAGGCCACGCTCACTAACCGCAATCTACATCCGGCTACAACAAGCGAGCTAACCGCAAGCTGCCGATAAGAATGGAAATAACACAACTACAATAACAAGATGAAGTATGATATACAGGGTGGATCCGAAAAACCGGGTTCAGAGAAAAAAGTTGAAAATATACATGATTAACATATCACATTTAGTCGAGCATTTGGTAGATTACAGCCAACGTATGACGTATGACATATGACATTCGACAGATGACATCTCACATATGATAGATAATACAGAATGATATTTTGCAAACTTCCCACCCTCAATATCTTCCTTGCAGTGAATAATATGAGTAATCGAAGAAACAGGTCGATTTTATTTTCGAAGGGGACACTTGAAATGATTAGTTTCAGCCCTCTAGGTTCAACCCCCTATGAGGAGTAGATGTTACCCTTATAATCTCAAATGAGAAGGAGGGTCAAGTGGCACATCATTTTGAAGGGCGTTCAATTCTCTTTCCCTAGTAAATCATTTTCTGTCGAGCAGTTTCCGAAAAATGTCGTGTCACTTTCAGTAATAAATGATATGAAAAATCGAAAAAACACGTCAATTCCATTTCTGAGGAAGACACTTGAAATGTATATTTTTAACCCTCCTAGTTCAACCCCCTAGGAGGGGTAGATGTTACCCTCAAAACCTAATATAGAAAGGGAGGTCAAGATGCACATCATTTCGAAGGGCGTTCAAGTCTCGTTTCAACTATACCCAAGGTTTAAATTTTTTGATGAACAGTTACCAAAAATGCCGTTCTGAACTTACAGAAGTAATTAGAACAGGCCTGCACTGATATCTCGACTGATATGCATGGTTTTCAGATTCGTATCATTGTATTGACCCTTTTAGTCCAAATAGTAGGAAGATCTTGAATGCATTTCAGTGCAGGCATGTTCCGCAATTACTTCTGTAAGTTTAGAACGGCATTTTTTGGAAACTGCTCCTCAAAAAATCATAAACTAGTGTACTGTTGGAAAGAAGATTGAACGCCCTTGAAAATTATGTACCACTTGGCCCCCCATACTATTTGAGATTATAAGGGAAACATCTACCCCTCCTAGGAGGTTGAACCAAGAGGGCTAAAAATATACATTTGAAGTGTCTTCCTTGACATTGAAATTGTTATAATAATAATAATAATAATAATAATAATAATAAATTACGTTTATTTACCTTCAAGTTGTTTTTACATTGCATATTGAGAGAAGAAAAAATGGAAGGCAAAAAGGTTGAACTCAGTTCACCACAGCACTGCACAACTGCAGGCTGCGGCGTCTGCTCTACCGTTCAACCTACTTGATGATTATTCAGTTTATATTTATGAAAATATTTTTATCTAAACCTATAGCTATACAGCACACAAGCGTGACAAGCACACAAGCTCTAAACCTATACCTATACAGCACACAAGCAGACCACCACCAGACCCATACCACCTCTGGGATAAACAAACTGTAATTGCATATCATTCGTATAGGAAAGTATCACTTTTTTAGTTTATAAATAGTTGAAATTGTTTTTCATCAAAAATTCTTTGAACTCAAATCTGAATCTGCTCAGGGCTATTATCCAAATGATTATATATTTTTACTATAGAATACTATGATCTCGATTTTACATTTTTTTTACTGAAAGGAAGATTTGAGGGTGGAAAGTTTTCTAATTGACACGGCAGTTTTCGGAAACTGCTCAACAGAAAATGATAAACTAGGGTAGGTACCGTTGGAATAATGTGCCACTTGACCCCTCTTCCCATTTGAGATTCTGAGGGTAACATCTACGCCTCCTAGGGGATTGAACCAAGAGGGCTAAAAATATTCATTTCAAGTGTCCCCCTTGGAAATGAAATTGACCTATCTTCTCGATTTTTCATATTACATACTGGAATGAAGATATTGAGGGTGGGAAGTTTCCGAAATGTCATCCTCCACAAGCCGTTAATGATACGTCCGGTGCTCATTGAAACTAAACGCTCTTGTTCTACTATAATGTTTGACGTATGACATTCAACAACTGACGTGTACCACCTACTCGTCGAAAGCAGGCACTCAAGCCGTCGAAATGGCTAACGGTTCAAAATGGCGCTCAAATGACGATACGAATGATGTTTGACAGATTA